GATAGTACCGTGTTTTTATTAATCCAATTTACGAACAAATTATACATTTCATTATATACGCCGTCATGAAAACTCCTCTCGTCCGTCTGCGTAGAATTGTTTCGAATTGACCCAATAGGTACGCGTGTTGATTTAATATATTTGAAAGTCGAATGCGTATAAACGCGCTTTTAATTCGCATTTATGAGACGAGTTTAGGTAGGTATAGCAGTGTAATATTAAACTCAACGACTACCGAGTTCATCTGTAAATTAACGAACGAAATGTTAATGTGATAATAGATTAAGGGTTTTGCCGTGCCTACTGCAGTTACCGTTTAAATCGTTATCCATACATTATACGAATTCCATTAAACAACCGACTAATACATATTATACAATTACGTAAGTATTATTATATGAATTCACGAATGTACAATAGAACATAGTTATAATGTCATTATAAAAAAATACGAGTATAATATGTGGCTATAATATACAACGGTCAATGCCGTAAAAATCCGGGTATCATGATTATATTATATACCTAAATATACAATAAACTGCAGGTTCAGGACCATCTTTTAAAGAAATTAAGATGGAATAGGAAGCTGCGAATTATTACACTGATACAATTGTACGATATCTACAGTAACGTATTTGAGTATTCATAATGGGAGCGGGGGAGATGGCGATAAATGCATACACACACACACACACATATATATATACAGCGTGTTCTACGAAGATATACCCATTGCGATATCTCGGAAAATATTAACTTTTTTGGAATTTTTTAGTAGTGAAGCACTATTCAAAACGCAATGTGTTATGCCACCGCACAAATTATGCTCCACTACTCTCTCCATAGCTAAACTTAAAAGTGGAATATCTCTTCATCAGGTTGGAGGAAATTAAACATTTTAATACCAAAATATATTAACCTAACTAAGTAAAGAATTAAGAAGGCGGAACTCTAAACAAATACATACTATATAATAACATAATAGTGAACTTTTTGAAATTCTGAAAAGAGTGAAGAAGCTTATGGTTTTACATAGATATTTATTTATTTTATTTTTTTATCTATTAACAACATTTCTACCAGAAGACTTGCTCGGATTTCTAAGTGTAGCACTTTTTCTGAAAAGTAATTGGTGTTGAGAGATACTCTAAAGAGGTCATTTTTCGATTTTCTCAAGAGTTTTCCCAGTAAATGTGAAAAACCTGGATAAAATATGGGAAAATCAGATAAAACGTAGGAAAATTGGGAAAATCGGTACAACATCAAACAAATATTTTTAATGAAAATATATAAAGCCTATTTAATTATTTTACTATAAAATTGCATATATATTGTTGACAAAGCATCGCTATCAACTGGACTCCGCTCAGAGTTGTTTTTCATAAGCAATGGTTTATCGTTGCTTACAGGCACACATTAAATTACCTATAACAATGGCTGCTCCCGTTCCCATTATCCTAGGACGTTTTTTTCAACAAGAGATTAAAATATTAGTCTAAACAAATAGTAGAAGTTTTTCTAAAATAATACTATCATGCGGAAAATTCGAAAAAACTATTGTAGGAGCGTATTATAATTTGTCTAGAGACAAATAAAAACCACTTCGAATATTATAACTATAGTAAACGTTTATAATGGCCCGACATCGATGTTCTAGCCGAGTTTATAAACAATAATGTCTCGTTTTTCCGCAAATACAATATCGCACAAATACATGCAAATTGCGTACCTTAAATATTGAAAAAAAATGGAACATTTCGCCTGGAACAACGTACGTTAATTTTAATAATTTCTATTCTTTTTTTTAACAAATTTGACTACAATGACTTAAAATGAACGCTCGAAATCGTACAGGAAAAGTAATAATGATATTTTCGACAAACGTCTTTAACTAACTCATTTGTACAGTTTATTTTTTTTTTATATATATATAATTTTGTCATGACGTAACATTCGACAGTATTAATCGGACACGGATATCCGCTGAATCGTCTTTAGAAAAATAATCGTGTTACATTTCTTATTTATTTATTTTTCTGTACAACGTCGGTAAATAAAACTATATAGCTGCATATTATACGGTAGAATACCATAAACATTCATCACTCACGTGATCATTAAAGAGACCGGTAGCAAAATAAACACGGGAAAAACTATCACGTTACGTTGTGTGTTTAAAACATATATTGTACGAGTATTATTATATACAAAATATTTCATATTATTCTCACGGTATCTATTTCACGAATACAATATTATGTTATACAACTCCAGTTAAATAAATGCAAACGATTTACTTATGTTACATGTGAATCGTTCAACAATTTCGATTCGTAAGAATTACTGATACTCACCTGCATATTATATTTATACAGCTATGTATTACGCCCTCCTGAAAATTATTTCTAAAAATATTCATTCTCGCTGTGTTCGATAAATCAATATATTAGTAATATTATATGTTTAGGTAGTTCGAAAATTCTACTCTATAGAGTCGAATTGTGCTAGTGCAGTAGTTGCGTGTGAGATATAAGTGTTCGTCTTTAAATGCATAAGTATCCCAATAACATTATTATTTCCCAATAAATCACCCTGCATAGCTACGAGCAACGGATATAAAACGTACCTACTATACTGGAGTGAAGTGTGTATTCATCTGAGATCATTGACAATAAAATAAGTAAGTGCGTGAAAAAAAAGCTGATACCGCTGATGGGTGTGCCACTGCTGTAGATGGGAAGTTAAAAAGATGGATTACATAGAATTATTACATTTATATCTGACACAACAATAAACCGTTGCTAACGAAATACAATAATGAGCGAAGTTTGTTCGACAACATTTGAACTTAAAACAGACGGACATCCTTCGTACTGTGTGTGGGCTACTATTGAGGGTGAGGAGTTGGAGAGGTAGGATATATATATATATATATAGAGAGAGAGAGAAAGAGAGGGTTATGAATGTATTTTTTATGCAACGATTAATCATTCCTAACAAAAAATAATTCTGAGCAGAGTTCGGTTACACATGTTTTATAAAGCCGTAATTTTTAAACGATTTTCGTCAAACTTTGATATCAAAATGTTTATAAAAACAAATACTACATTAAACTCAATTTTTCTTGTTGAACACTAAGTACAACTTATTATAAACCTCATGTTAAATTGTCAAGCATTTCTTATTGTTTAGTTTTATATCGTTTCGGCGTGTGGGTTTATAATATTATATATATATACATAAAGGTGTACATGAGTAATGAACGTAATGGTAATAATAATAATAATAATAACAATACGTCGCATTGTGTGACGGACATTCGGAAAGGCAACCATTACCTCCTAAATATATACTATAGCGGTCACGATCGTTTACGAGATATTAAAAAAAATCGCGCTACGTGATGTGCGCTCTTAAAGTAATGTCGCCCAAGTGCAACGTACGACCGCTATCTGCACCCGGCTGCAACGTAACAACCGATAGTTTCCAGCCTATAAAAAATACAACAATGTTTTCATAGGTACCGTTTTTTTTTAATTTTATTTTCCTGGAAGTTCTTTTTCATTGAATAGACACAGAGCGCTTGAAACTAATCAGTGACGAAAATTTTAACTAATACAGTCAGTAATACTTATATTTGGTGGTATTTTTGAGTTATAATTGTTAACATTTTCAGAGTTTTAAATAATAATACTTAAAAACAAGAACTAATTATTATATCTGTTAAATTTTGTGTACCAATTGCCACTCATTGATTAAATTAGATAATAGTTTTAGTATTAATTATGAATACTTAATTTCTATCATAATAATATTAATTAATAAATTATGGCCATGTAATAAAAAATTGTATTTAAGTGATCAAATTCATCAAATAATTAATATTTGTATTTAATCTATAATTTACCAAAGGGACCCTGAAGAATGAAAGTAGGTTATACTGGCAAGTGACAATAATTGGTATTTAATGTAGGTACTTAAATTTAAAGTTTTCTATTATTAATATATTAATTCATATTTCATGCATTCATTATGATATAAATCACGAATCGATATATATCTTTATTCGTGACATAAATTATCTAGCCCCAATCAAAAATTGCCATTGGTAGCGTTTTTTTTCAGCGCTCACATTTAATGAACCAGAATATAGTACAAAAATCGCTACAGTCACATTCGGGCATTAACTGTTAGTTCAAGTACGAAGAAATTTAGCAAATGATAAGTACTCGTTGCGTATCCTATATGTATCTTAATTCGTTGTCAGAACAAACACGAGCGATCGACACAACTAAAGCAAGTTCCCTAATCAATATTATATAACACAGTGAGAATTTTTCCTTTTAGTTTTACGCGCTTATTCAGATTTTTCATTTGAAGTTTGAAGTTTTTATAATTTAGACGCGTTTTAACGTATAGGTAAATCGTTTTCATATACTTATGCCGGGTTGCATAAACAATCGATATAAAAAGCTTGATAAGGTGTACTATTGAGTCAATCCTCAATAAACTATTATATAAATATCTTTATCGGTTCCATATAATACAGTTCTGTTGCATAAAATATTGAACTTATATATAATTCTTTGATAACTTACCTTAGACGTGATAATGTGGTATATACAATAAATGATAAATAGGTCATTATTTGTTATAATCCTTTTTTTAATGATGAACTGCAAAAGTGAACCGATAATGTATTTAGATACATTGTTAAATAAATACAAAATAATGAATGACAAATTAAAAAATTTGTCATAGGATAATGGAGACGGATATAGTAAATATCATAGGTGAGAAGTTGGGAAGTTAGTAGATCAGAAATTGAATCTATATTTGTACGCAACGATTAACCCTTACTAACGGAAAACGATTCTGAGTGGAGTTCGGTTGATGGCAACTTGTGTCATTATAGATCGATTATTTAATCTGTCATCTATACGAAAATAAATAATTATCATTTATTAGAATTAAATCGAAATATATTTGTATATTTTGTTCCATAATAATTGCTTATTAAATACTCAATCATACATTCGTATCTAAAATATCTTTAAATTAAACATTTGTTTTATCTGACATAGAGGATTTGGTATTTTATTTAAAATTAATTTATATTAATAATAATAATTGTTTAAAAATAAAAAATAAGTAATATTCAAATAGATTAGGTTACTGTAAGTTGACTTATTTTTTGATAGACACAGTTTTTATTTCCAAGTAATTATGTAAACCAGCTTCACCTCTGTAAACCAAAACACATAATTGTACAATAATAACAATAACTATCGCATGTATAAAATAATTTTAAAAACTTACAATTCTCTACCAAATCCAGATTGATTAAATCCTCCAAATGGGTTTTGAGGCGTGATAGCATTATAACAGTTAATCCTATTGAGTAAAAAAGTGATATCTAAGTATTTTATTTTCACTTAGAACAAACAATAGATCATTAAATTTATTATGCGAGTTTTTATTAAAAAATAAAGCCACATTCCGAACATCAGATAAATTTGATATTTGTTTTATTATGAAACAAAACACATACTTAATTGAATTTAATTACCGAAAGCTATTTTTTTTTTAAGATGATTTTTATTCAATCAAATATAAAACTAATTACCACATTGACCCAGCATTCACATTTTCCATATACTTTAATGCAATACTCAAATCCTTAGTTAATACTCCAGCAGCTAATCCATAGTTAGTATTATTTGCACGTTTAATTACTTCATCAAGTGTTTTGAACTTGATAATCTGCTGAACTGGCCCGAATATCTATAACAAAATAAAATCAGATATATCAGATAATATCATATTATCAAACTGGAGTTAAAAGCAAATTATTATATAATATTTTTACCTACCTACCTATATTCAGGGTATAACAGGACCATTTAACAATTTTACATGTAACTACAATGTAAAAATATCAAATATTCCTGTTACACTCTGTAAATAAGAATAGAATGATAATTAAACTTAGAATTGGATAGTAATAATTTATTTGAGTCATTTTATGTTATAAAGTATAATAAATTGAAATGACAGATTTTATTTTAACTTTATTCAAAAAATTCTCAAACTCTAAAAATAAAATTATTTAAGCTCTCATATAAGTAGGTAATAAGAATTGTTCATCACAAAAGTAATATATATATAATTAGAACTTAGTAATTATTAATAATAGCAATAGTAATAATAATACATTTTAGTACAAACTATAACATAAAGCGCATGTTTTTATTATTATTATTTATCTTAATCGAATCAAATTAGTATTAGTAATTCCTCTACATTTCTAAAAATTCATTAACATGGTTAATCAAAAGTAAAAAAAAAAAACAAGAAAATCTTTGAAAGGAGTTTCGTTTTATAAAATATATTATTTCAATTTATTAATCTAAATATATATTATATATTAGTAAATATAATAATATTTACTTCTTCTTTAGCAATTCTCATATCATCAGTCACATTTGAAAATACAGTTGGATAAACAAAATATCCTGTATCCCCTACTTTAGAACCACCAGCTTCTACTTTGGCTCCTTCCTTTATACCAGACTCAATCAGGCTTAAGACTTTGTTATACTGCTTCTCATCTACCTAAAATGTTATGATATGTTTCAAGATATTTGCAATATATTATATTAGATTATTAATACTTAGTAAAATTATTATTACTACACACCTGTGAAGAATTATTTATATTTTTAACCGAAAACATTGTAACTAATAGATTAAAATACGGTTGAATAATTGATATTTAGATATTTAGATAAGAAAAATGACTTCTTTAAGATACCTCCCTATACCGATTTCCTTGTAGAAAAGGTGCTATACGTAAAATACGAAAAAATCGGAGCTAGTCCTCTGGTAGAAAAGTTGTCCACAGAAAAAAAACATCTTTGTAAAACCATAAGCTTCTTCACTCCCCTCAGAATAAAAGGTTCTTCTCAACCTTGACTGCACGAAAAATCTCTTTAAAGACCACTCTGTCGAGAACTTCCATTGAAACACATAGGTGTACTTAACCTTTATCTTATATCATTTTCGAATATCTAGCTCCAACTTTTAGCATCTAATCATTCATGTTTAATTTCCTTGAATATCTATTTAAATTAATAAACCTTTTTTGTATCCTAATTTGAATTAATTAACCTTTGATTTTTAAGTGGTACACAGATTTTTTGAGTGTTAAATGGTACTTAAATTATAATGTTTAATTGAGTTGTCACTGCCAACTATTCATACCTATCCTACTATTCATTGAGTACGCGAGGATACCTACAGATAACTGAGGTGACCTTAGCATTCGAATACTGTGGGCAGGTAAGATAAATGTTCTTATTTATTGATTGTTGTCACTATTCTCAGATTCATGACTCCAAAACTCTTTGTACATCAGGTTATAGGTTATAAATCAATTATTGATCTGAGCACCTACCCTTTTTTCCCATTTAATCCTCTTCCATATTTATACTTAATTTCTTTATCTTTTTACCTTTATTACAATAATAAAACAATGACATACACAAACAATTATAGAAAGTTTTAAAAATGTTTAAATATTACCAGAGGCCATATTGTTGTATCGGGATCAAATTGATCACCAACTTTCTTTTCAGATGCCAATTTTGCCGCTTTTTTCACAAATTCATTATAAATACCTTCTTGAACAAATGTTCTCGTACCAGAACAACAACTTTGGCCCATATTGGGAAATAGAGCATCGTGAGCAATTTTTACAGCTTCATCAACTGCGTAAGTAGTATAAAATTACCCATAAATCAAATAAGTAAAATTATAAATAATTGCAAAATTCAAATTCAATAGAAACAAATTTTAAAACATATGTCAAAACTATTTACCATCAAAATCATCGAATATTACAAGAGGACTTTTACCGCCCAGTTCTAATGAAACACGTTTCAAATTAGACTTTGCTGCTTCTGCCATGATTAATTTTCCAACCTAAACATTTTAAGCATTAATTTTATCATATCTACTTAAATCATGCCCAAAAACAAATTAATTTAGGGAAATTGTATAATTAATTTACTTCTGTTGATCCCGTGAAAGCCACTTTGTTTATGTCAGGGTGGCTAGATATAGCTTGACCTACTGTTATACCATATCCGGGAATAACATTTACGACTCCGTCGGGAAATCCAACCTATAAAGTCAATTTTTTTTATTTATTATAATTTATTAGTTATAATACAGTTATATAGTTATAATTATTTATAGAGTATAATATATTAAATTTCACTTCTTTTGATAATGCAGCTATGTACAGAGCTGTAAGAGAAGTTTGTTCGGCTGGTTTCAATACAATTGTACATCCTGTAGCAAGAGCTGGACCCAATTTCCAAGACATCATCAAAATTGGATAGTTCCAAGGTATTATTTGACCAACAATTCCAATAGGTTGAAGTTTTGTAAATGAGACGTATGGTCCATCTAAATAAGTAAGGTAATAATAATAAACCTAACCCATGTTTTTAAATAAACATTTGATAAATTTAACACATTATATAATAATTTTAATATTACATTACTCTAATATTTTAAAAATCCCAGTGCAGTAAGAAAATTTGAAAATTTTATAAATATTAAACTAAAATAAAAACAATATTTTTACTTTTACTTTTATCTTCTAATAATTAGTAATACCTACACGACTACACAAAAATGATAATATATTATTTATCAACCCTTTTTTATATTCTTAGCCCATTTTAATGTTAAAATATATTAAGATTCTAAGCGAGAAGACAAACATTTTAGTTTAACATTATAATTATTAAAAATGAAACATTTTTCCCCTTAATTCTCTAATGATTTAGAGGATATCGTCTAACAAATGTATGCAGTTATTTTTAATATTAGAATTGATCAATTATCAAATTTTTAAAGTAAGACCATCATCTGCATTTGTATACATATGTCCATTATTTTCAATATGTGTTTACATTTTTAAGAGTTGCTAAATTATGATAATGACTTCACACACTTATTATATCTCACTTAAAATTAAAATGTAGAAAAAATTGACGTACAGACAGATAATGCTTTCACTTTTACTGGATCAATTTACTTCAATTTTAAACTAACAGCACAAAATTGGTCCTATTGAACATAAATTTGCTATGTAAGAAGTTGTATGTTTGTAAGATGGAGACAGCATAATATACAGGTGTTGTGATCATTTACCCAAGTTGTTTACTGGACCAACATTTTTAAAATAATAAAAATAAATAATGAAAATAAAGATAATTTTAAAATTTTAAGTTTATATTTTATATAGACATAGATTTATCAATAATATTCATTATAATTGTATATAGGTATACCTGATGGTATAGTTTTTCCATGAATTTTGTCAGCATATCCAGCATAATACTTTAAAACTGAAACACTTGAACGTATATCTGAAACTGAATCACGAAGTGGTTTACCACAATCCAACGATTCTAAATAAGCCAAGTCATTTTTGTGTTCATCTATCAGTTCAGCTAATTTATACATCAGTTGACCCCGAACTGAAGCATCCATTGTGCGCCATTCAGAATCTGGCTGGAATGCAGCTTTCGCTGCATTAACAGCCAAATCAATATCAGCCTATATTCAAATTTTACACTTAATAATTTAATTTTAAATATATATTACATATGTATAGATGTGTATATAATTCAAATCTAATATTATATAAGCTATATTATATATAAAATCAAATTATATCTCACTTTATCTCCTTCAGCAACATCGGTAATTTTCTTTTTATTTGCTGGATTGAAGGTAGGAAATTTTTTTCCGCTTACTGAATTCACAAAAGTATTATTTATAAATATCTAAAACATAATAAATTAAAATTACTTTAGATAAATCTTTGAAAATACCTGTTTCTTGATTAAGTACCTACTTATTTGTTAATATAATATGTTCTGATGTTTAATATATTAGACTTTCATTATAATATTCATATATATACCTAATAGTAAAATACCTACATTGATAGTAAAACTAACAAGTATACATTGTGTCCTACCATTTTCAACAGATTTTTTTAACCTTCTTAAAATTCAAATTTTTCGTTTTTTTTTTTTCTTTTTTTTATTCAATCGGTCTGTCTTTGATGGGGACATCGATTTGAAGAAAAATTAATTTTTTATTTTCATCCCCTAAAGACAAAAAACAAATAACTTTCTATTTATTCACTTGGGAAAATTTTCAAAATAGCCATTTTGTAAAAAATATTATTCAACAAATTTTAACGTATCACACATTCATATTTAATGAATAATTTTTTAGTTATAGTGATTTTAATCAAGCGTGAAAACAAATAGTATTCAATAAAATAACACGTTGTGCAATAAAGAATTACAATCAACACGGTAATTCTTTACTTTCAATTGAATATTATAATTGTTTTCATGCTTATTTCTAAAAATTAAAACAGCTATAATTAAAAAACTATTATTCGGATATGAATGTTTGATACATTAACATTTTTAGAATAATATTTTTTACAAAATGGATATTTTGAACATTTTTGAAAGTAAATGATTAAAGTTATTTTTATTGTGTGTTTAGGGAATGAAAATAAAAATTTAATTTTTCTTCAAATCAATATCCTCCTCGAAAATAAACTGATTGAAAAAAAAATCTAAAAAAAATTAATAATACCTAAACAGCGCTAAAAAAATCCGTCGAACATGGTGGGACACATTGTATATATTAGGTATGATTGAATAAATGTAATTATACTGTACAGTTTAAACAAATATAATATTATGTAGGTAATTAGTATCATCTAATACTATAATACCTAGTTCTTATAAATAGTACTTGTATACAATTGTTTTTACTTATCAAGTAAGTAACAAATATATTATTTATATTTAATTATATTGTGTTAATGGTTCAAACTATAGACATTGACCTTAAAAAGTATCAATATAAATATTAAATAAATACATTATTCAATTTTAAAACATTAAAAACTAACAAAAAACAAAATAATTAAATTATTATTATCTCAACATTAATTTTCAACAACATTGAAAAAACATAAAATTAAATTATACTACTAAAATAATAAAATAATATTAAAACAATTGTAAATAATATAATTACAATTATTGCTATACCTAGAATATCTTCAATATACCCATACAATTTAGGACGTTTTACCCGCATGTTTTGTCTCAAACCAACTAACAGGTTCAACAAAATCTACGATTTACGTAGAACTCGCTTGATTTTGATTTTAGAGTAATAGCGCTTATTATAAAATTAAAATAGGATAATATTCCGGAGGACAAGACAATGCGTTTCTTTTTTAAGTTAATTTTTCAATAACATGTTACAGTCATTTAAAAACGATGGATTAAGTTTTATTTTTAAACGATTTATTGAACGTTACAACCGGAATAATAATTAGAACAATAGGAAAAACACATCGTCATGCTTTCGAAATATTCTCTTTCAATTTTATTATAGGTGCTTTTACTATAAAACCAAAATTAACCGAGTTCTATGCAGACCGTGTAGTAAATGCGGTAGATTTTACTATATCGCCCGTCAGTAAGGACTGAGACAGTATATACGGGTATAGCGCCCTCTTAAAATGCTACCTATTTGTTAAGTATGCATAATAATAATTGATATAAATACTTTTATAATACTAACCAACTACTGAGATAATATAGAATATACATGCATAATATTGTTATTTGTAAATATATACATAAATGTATTTAGTATACAAAAATTATAAAATTACAATTTAATACGGCCACCTATGGTATACATAACATAGGTATAGTTATTTTACTGTGCCTACCAATGCGATTTTCATATTCTGAACGGAGCGAGGAATATACTGGTTTTACAATGACAATATTATGTGCAATGTGATATTATGATTTTTGTCTGTGAACAACTTTTCTACCAGAAATCACCAATCGAAAATGGCATTAACGACAAACAACAAGAGTCTTTTTTGTTGTATTCCGGATCTAATTAGTGTACCTATTGAGGAAATCATGTTTTCGATTTTCCAAGCAATTTTCGCGATAATTGGAAAAATTCGGAAAAAAAACATAAAATAAAAACTGACAAATTGATGAAATTAACAATTGCATTATATAAATTTGTTCAATTATTCTGTCTACGAGAAGTCCTGTTCTGAATTTCAAGAGTAGCATTAGTGGCGGACGGCGGTTATCTTTAATGAAGGTTTAGCGACCTTCACACGTTTAATTAGAGGTGAGGTTCTGTAGTACATTTTCATACGTGAATAAAAGGTACAATAAAATATTATCTACTTCAATTTTTAACCGTTATGACCAATCTTGTTTCGTGTTACAAAGTACAAAGTAACATCAGGCTACATCCGAGTTGTGTCCCGGATCATATCGGTTTTGATAGGTAGTACACTAGTTGGTCCTAATAAGTTTTGAGTACTATATTGATTTGGTCCCGGCTTTCGGTATGTATAATATTCAAGTTGGGCCCGAAAGTTTAAAAGCAATACAAAACATTTACCTTCTAATTTTTACAAACTTAGGACCTATTTTACCAGTGATTTTTTTTCTGTTATTTGATCATTTATACATTTTTCATTTGTAATACAATTTTTTTTTTCGTTTTTTTCTGCACTTCTAATTTTAATGTAGGTAGTAATAATAAGTAAGTAGGTCTATTTGGGTACATCTTAAAACTTTTATCAACTGGTAGATATTAGAGTGGATATTAGGATGAATATATTGTGTTTTATTTTTCTAAAAGCTTTTAAACTATTATATATAATAATATTACGGTACTAGATGACTAATAAACTACAGGCATAAACCTGGAAATCGGGACCCAACTATTGTAGATTTTTGAACCCGGGACCCAACTCCGATGCGCTATTTTTGAACGTATTAATTACACTATTTTGGGTAAATAAAATATTATATGAATGAATATTGGTGAGGTCGGGTGACGGAGGCGTTAGTACCTATGGAGTATAGATAATTTTTGGAGAAGGAAGGTTTGACCATCAATTATTTTTAATATGAATAAATTGAACAAAGAATTTAACTCCTGTAGTAATTCGAAATGAGGGGTTTAACCCTTCCACTGGTGGGTTAATTCATGTCTGTATACGTTTATATATTGTTTTATATTCATTTTTTTTTTATGATAGTATCTTTTCTAAAAGACAATTTTGTCTAGTTGGTGCATACGAAGGTCGTTTTTTGATAACCAATAATTCAATAATCCGATTTTTTATCAGAAATTTCGCTCTTATTATCCAGTGTAGCAATTTTTTGAAAGGAAATCTAACTAGGGTTGTACATTAGATAAGTCATTTTTTGATTTTCCCAATGGTTTTCATAATAAATAAGAAAAACAGGAAAATTTACGAAATGTATTATTTTCAAATCGTAAATATTACAGCCTTTCAAAACGTGTATGACCGAACTCCGCTCAAAATCGTTTTTAATTAGCAACGATTTTAATATTTGCCTACAGATACACATTAAATTTCCTCTCTACCTTCCCAACTTCTCATCAACAGTGGCTCACCCGAAATATGTCCGGTTTTTTTTTCAAACACGCGTAATATTCTTGGATTTATATGAGGATAAAATTATTTGTAGATTTGATAAGTATATAAAAAAATTGAATTAATTTTAAACTGAGGCAAGATCAATCTCCAATACACTTTTACGATGAATTAATATTTGTCTTCTAAATTCTTATCGTTTTACAATATCGATCAGACTGATTACCAGGAAACTAATCTGAAATTGTCATACTAATTATGTGTTCGATAAAGAAAGACAACATCGTTATCCAATTCCCTTAATAGGAGTAAGTTATAATATTAGCTTTGACTATGTTGAATAAAGAAATAGCTGGTTCCTACTGAATACCTACGTATTTTTGCAAACAAATAACTATCATAATCTAAATTCTAAATATGTAACTACCTATATTCTAAATTAATAAATAATAAGTTTGTCTATGTCAGGCGTGTTTCAGAGAGGAGTGACGAGTCATAATTCCGGGAAAAAAAATTAAATTTTAATATTTTGTGCATCCCCATGCGGAATTGACCTGAAGTGTCCTTGTGATATGCACCATATAATATGGTTTTATTTTAAAATTGAATTAAAAAAATACAGACTTAAAAAAAAAAAATGATATACGAACCCAACACACAATTTAACTACACATTATATAAAACGCATTTAAGTACATTTATTTTCAATAAATAAATAAATTTACATTCATAAAAATAATACCTGGTTATATAAGGGTTCAACATTCGAATTTGCCATGCTTATATTAGTCAATAATTACCAATTTCAACAATTTCAATAAATTTTAATGGATAAGTTTGAAATGTATATACCGAACAAGTCGTTATACTTACGCGGTACGGACTAATATTAAATTTGAGTATTATAAACGGTATACGAGTAACTAACTAGGAAATATAATAAGTAGAAACCTAATTAAGAATATAATCTTTAATGATATTCTTATATTCTTGATTAAAAAGTGATTATAGTTATTATGTCTATGTAGGTTATACAGAGGTTCCCAAATCTCGCATCACTTTTAGTGTAATATTCTATTTTTCCCGCGACCGGTGTAAAAAAAAATAATATATTATATATAAGTATTTTAGCAGCAATGGGGAAATATTGTTAAAACAGTTCCATCACTGCTTTCGGTTAAAAAATATAAATGTTAGTATTGTACAACATAATATTATATTTCTTTATTTAATTGTCACTTTATGACTGGATATACCTACCGGCAGCTTATACATTTGCTTGTGTTATTTTTTTAATTTTAATTTTATGTTAAAATAATCTAAACATGATAGTATTAAAATACATAGGTATAATATAATGCTTAAAAGTAGTCTACTATTAAAATATTATACTTGACATCAGCCGGCAGTACTCGTCGTTTGGGAACCGCTGATTGATAATACCATACTACATTGCTAATGAGCAAATAATCGATAAGATTTTATTTTTTAATCTTCAAGCCCAATACAAATATATAAAACAAAACAGACAGATAAATGTTTTAATTAATGTGTACAGAGCAGTGACGGCGCCGGGGATTTTTCTCAGGGCGGGCCAAAGGGAGGCCAACATATATTAAAGTAGACACAGTCGCACGGTGGGTTGACAGGGGCCCGAGCGTCCTTAATTTGGACTCCCCGCCTTTGACCCTGACCCTCCATGTATAAGTACAGTAACAGTAAGTACAGTATTTTTTAACTACTTGGTACTACTTAGTAATAGTTGTATTATTCTGTGACGGTAGCGGCAACTATTCAGAATATATGTTCGAATACTTCACAACTATAGTATTTCCAAAATATTCCGAAAACTTTACTAAATATATTCCGAATATTTTATAAATACTATCTAGAAAAGCTGCTCTAGAATAATGGCGACGGGTGTAGCCACTATCGTAGGTTGGAAATTAGGAAGAATAGAATACAGAGGAGAATTTAATGCATATCTGTAAGCAACGATAAACCATTGCTAACGAATAAACGATTCTGAGCGAATTTCAGTTGATAGTAGCACTTTTTCAACATTATATATGTCATATTATGGTAAAATAACTAAATAGGCATTATGTATTTTCATTAATAATATTTGTTTAATATTGATCCGATTTTCTTGTTTTTTCTACATTTTTCCCGGTTTTCCCCGGTTTTTCACATTTACTGAGAAAACTCCGGAAAAAATCGATAAAAGACCTATCTAAAATACCTCCCCAGTAAAATTTAATTTTAGAAAAATTACTATCATTATAGGTTGGAGCAAAATTGCTGGTAGAAAAGTTGTCCATAGAAAAAAAAATCGTAATATTGTAAAAAAATATTTCACACATTTTTGGTTACTTGTATTTTATGAGAAAATAGAAAAATTACCTCTTAAAAGTACCCTCCTCAGTCAGATTTCTTTTTAGAAATTTTAAACATTGGAGCAAGATCTCTGGCAGAAAAGTTATCCGCAGAAGAAAAAAAAATAACCATCTTTGTAATTGCATACCTAATATGAAATATAACAAACCAGAATGCCTGACCATAAATACAATTAACACAGATGAGAAAGAAATAATTTTTAATGGTGAAGGAATACAAATTTCCAAATCCGATTACTTAACAATCGAACAACCCAATTTTTAAATCCACACATTATATACACTTCTTTTAATAACACGCCTGGAAAATACATAACATACATACACAACTGAAGACTTAGTAAATGCAACAGACGCGGCTGTATAAGTAGCCAATTAATGGAGTAAAAGAGGAATATAATAAGGCGTCTATATAAAGCCTGGAAACGATAAGACGAAGAATAATACGACTCAAATTAAACCAGCCAATGTATAGTCTTGTCAAATAAAAATAAAACCTAATTATGCTGAATCAAAGAGCTAAATAATATAGTGCAAGGTGAATACTAAAGCTGCTTATTACACGTGAAATTAAAAATTTCGTGCTAGGGACCGTGTAATCCGTGAATTACGTGGATTTTTAAAATTCACGAAATTCACGAACGCGAAAACGTGAAAAGATAAACATTTTAAATATAAACTTTAAAATAATCAAATAGACGTATTTTAAATTTTAAATTTTATTTTTTTGTTGCGTTTTATACTAGTAATATCTAGTTAGTGACGAATAAAGTCATATTTTGGTGTTTGAAGTTTCGATTTTTTTTTTCTACAAAAAATTTTGCTCCGATCAAAAAATGACAAGTCATTGTCTGAACAATACGATTTATATAAATATTAATTATTATAAAATATTGAAGTTATAATAAACAATTAGGAAAATTTTTTGATAAAAACATTTAAATAAAGTCTAATTCATAAGCGAATACCTAATAATTATTTGAAAAGAAAAATGTTAAATAAATATTAATAATAATTGAAAACAGAAAAATATATCTTACAATAAACATAGTCATATTATATAGTTTCAGCAAAATAGTTTTAAAATTCTATTTATGCAGAAGTTACATAAGTACTTTGTTTTTTTTTTTTAAGATCTAAAATGTAAAAACAAGGTTTCTTGTCATTTTTCAATTAGAGAATTGAAATTCTGATAGAAAATGTGTTCACAGAACCAAAAAAAAAAAAAAATTAAACATCATTGAAAAACCAATACATTCACTGTATTCTATTTCATTATTTAAGTCTCAGAAGTAATATTTTTTAATTGCTTATATCATTGGTTTATTTTATATTTTATCACTATTTAATATACATTTTATTCAATGTATACAGATTGAAATATTCTAAAAAATTGGAGTATCAAAAAAAAAAAAAAAACCACTATTTTCATGTTTTATAGTTAAGGAATTTCTATAGATGAACGTTTTTTTATTTATATATAATTTATACTGTTTGTAACAGGAGTTTATTGAAGTTTGGAATAAAAAGATCCACGAGACCATCGAAACCTGACTGCAAAAGATCATGTTTGCAAATTGCATTTTATCGATGACTATATTATAAGGGAAAAGGCTTTAAAAGGACCCGGTGGAAAAGATATACAATGTGAATTTTGTAAGCTTGCATTAAGAGCAGATGCGATCCCTGCTATTTTTCTCGATTCACTTCACGATTTGAGTAAAAATAAACAATAAAAAGAAAGCCACCTAAAATGAGAATTATTTCAGCAAAAAAAACTAAACTACAACTGAAGTATACAAGTATAGTAAGTGTCTATTTACAGGTGTCTCGCAGTAAATCATTTTTTTTCTAAATAATATTTTTCACATTTTATTTATTCATATATTTATTAATTATAAATACTAGTATTTATAATCTGTGGTGTATTATAAAATTTATATCTAAATGAGATACTTGATAAGGTGCATGCCGGGCGGTCTTTTTTATTATTGGTATTATTACTATTAATATTATCTGCGGTGTGTGGTATTGTAACTCGCTCGTCTGCGGTCAGTCGTTGCGCACTATTTTCGCACTTTTATTTATGCTTCAATAATATACCGGCTATGTATCATTTTATTAATATTAATCTCCTCATTTACACTTAATAAGTTCCTACATAGCAGATACAACATAATCAATGATATTACATTCATATAATATACTATATTCAAATTAAGAAAATAACTTGATGGTGACTAGTTTATGCTTTATTAAATTACCTACCTATATTCAATTATAAGTATTTAAAGATTTCAAATATGACGAAATCATCCAAAGAAGTGTAAATACTAAATATTATATACATACATTATATTTTATAATTGGTGTTAACTTGATAAAAATATTTTAAAAACCAAAATGCTAATGTAGGTACCTACCTATAGATTTAAGATCTAAATAATTACACTAAATATTATGCCACATGATAAAATATATTATACCAACTCTATACAAAATTATTAAATACTCAATTTAATGTAAAAAAAAAAAACAAAACAAAATAACACTTAAATAATTAAAATTTAAAATATTCAAGTACTTTCAGCATTTAACTGTATTTAAAATTCAGTCTACATAGAACAGGAAGCGCGCTCTACACTGTGGTAAAAATTCCAATCAAATCGGTATACGTATAGGAGTCCAGAATGACAACACCTCATCAATACACCTTCGTTAGTACCTACTGTCATTGATTATAAATCAATAGGTAATCAATAGTACTACCAATGATAATTATTGTATAAATTAAATTTGCGTGGGTTATATTTGACCAATCACTACAGAGTTTTAGTTATGGATAATTTGATAAAATATTTGATCGTGTGAACCATAAACCTGATAATACGTTTACAGGTTTATGGTGTGAACCGAGTTATAAACTATAGGTCACAGCTTAGAAGAACAGGTCCGACGACTGTTACCCTCCTACCAATAGATCGACGATCGCTTACTGAGTCAGATTTAGCTCACAATTTGCTCACGAGCGCTGCCGGTTATACTTATTGAGGTTATGTAATTAATAATTATGTTATGATATCAATATATATTATATCACAACTAGACGCCCAATAATCACGGACGGTGTAACGTTGATGAAACATAATCCGTTCTGAATTCTAATTCGATCTCAATTCGTGATTCGCGATCGTAACAGACATAACAATCAGCTCTGGACCCAGAAAAGCGTGTCCCCCGACACGAAGCGTGTTCCACAAAAATCCAAGTGCGCCCCCCGAAATGTATGTACCGAATTTAATATTGTATGTATTCGTTTTTAATGTAGAAATGTTTTTGAAGATGATAACGGTCAATTAATGAGATCACTCTATCCGATACATTGGTATTTATTTTAAATTATATTATTTTAGTAATATTGTTTAAAATTTTACTTTTTTTGTGTCGATAATTATTAGTATACACTTATTAAGGTATAAATATTATTAATATATAAGTTACGTAGTGACATTAT